GGAACTCTTGATGAGTCTCGTTGTTGTTATAAAGCTCATAATGGATGCATTATTGTGTACAAAAATAACAGTACATTGCTTAAAGGAATAAAAAGAAATGGACTGTGTGCCTATTATTATCATGGTATCTTGAATTCTGCACTTGGTTCTACTAACATTACTATGATAGAGAAGTGGCACATTAGAATTGGCCACATGAGCTAAAAGGGAATGAATATTCTCAGTCAACAAGGATTATTTGGTAATGATCCTATTTCTGCTCTTGAATTTTGTGAGACTGTATTATGGGTAAGCAACACAGATTGAGTTTCACAAAAGGAACTCATCTTGCTACTAACTGTCTTGAATATCTACATGTAGCTTTGTGGAGACCTAAAATGGTTAGGTCGTATGGGGGAAATAGTTATTTTCTGTCCATTATAGATGACTTTAGTAGGAAAGTTTGAGTTTATCTTCTTAAGTCTAAGGATAGGGCCTTAACAAAGTTTAAAAATTGGAAGCTTTTGGTGGAAAACCAAACTGATAAGAGGGTTAAGGCTCTTAGAACTAATAATGGCCTAGAGTTTTGCAACTTTGAATTTGACAAGTACTGTAGTGACCAAGGAATTCTAAGGGCCCTCAGCAAAATGGTGTGGCTAAGAGGATGAATATAACTTTACTAGAAAAAATTAGATGCCTTCTAGTCACTTCAGCATTACCAAAAAAATTTTGGGGAGAAGCTTTTAATACTGCAGCCTATTTAGTAAATATGAGTCCCTTTAGTGCCATAGATTTTAAGTATCCAGAAGAAAAATGGTCGAAAAGGAAGCCTAATTGGAGCCATCTAAGGGTGTTTGGGTGTGCTACCTATGCACATACAAATGAAGGAAAATTAGAGTCTAGGTCTATTAGGTGTGTATTCTTGGGATATCGAGAAGGAACCAAGGGTTATAGGCTTTGGGAAAAAGATGCACAAGGGGTGAGAATTATAGTTAGCAGGGATGTTATTTTTAATGAAAATCAATTCCCACGTAAATCTACTGATAGTAATGTAGGCACTTCTTGTAGTGATATTTTAGACTCTAATCAAACTTACACCACACGAATTGAGGTGGAGCCAGTAAGACACCAGACTAAACTAGTTAATCCCAATGAAGAAAATGAACTAGTAGATGGACTAATGACAGTTGATAATGACCAAGGTACTGAAGATGAAGTAGTAGAGAATGTTGAGAGGTCTCAACATGATGAACTTTCATAGTATCAGTTGACAAGAGACAAAGTCAGGAGGGAAATTAGGCCTCCTGCTAGATATGGTTATGCAGTGCCTCTTACTAACTATAATTCTTGGGGTATCGAGAAGGAACCAAGGGTTATAGGCTTTGGGAAAATGATGCACAAGGGGTGAGATATATAGTTAGTAGGGATGTTGTTTTTAATGAAAATCAATTCCCATGTAAATCTACTAACTGTAATGCAGGCACTTCTAGCAGTGATATTTTAGACTCTAATCAAACCGACACCACACGAATTGAGGTGGAGCCAGTAAGACACCAGACTAAACTAGTTAATCCCAATGAAGAAAATGAACTAGTAGATGAACCAATGACAGTTGATAATGACCAAGGTGCTGAAGATGAAGTAGTAGAGAATGTTGAGAGGTTTCAACATGATTAACTTTCATAGTATCAGTTGACAAGAGACAAAGTCAGGAGGGAAATTAGGCCTCCTGCTAGATATGGTTATGCAGTGCCTCCTACTAACTATAATTCTTGGGATATCGAGAAGGAAGCAATGGTTATAGGCTTTGGGAAAAAGATGCACAAGGGGTGAGATATATAATTAGTAGGGATGTTATTTTTAATGAAAATCAATTCCCATACTAACAGTAATGTAGGCACTTCTAGTAGTGATATTTTAGACTCTAATCAAACTGACACCACACGAATTGAGGTGGAGCCAGTAAGACACCAGACTAAACTAGTTAATCCCAATGAAGAAAATAAACTAGTAGATGAACCAATGACAGTTGATAATGACCAAGGTGCTGAAGATGAAGTAGTAGAGAATGTTGAGAGGTCTCAACATGATGAACTTTCATAGTATCAGTTGACAAGATACAAAGTCAAGAGGGAAATTAGGCCTCTTGCTAGATATGGTTATGCAAATTTGATTTACACTGCTTTGATTGATGGGGTTGAGGTTCAGAGATTTGAACTTGATACTTTTGAAGAAGTCACGAGTTCAAAGGACAACAAGAAGTGATTGGTTGCCATGGAAGAAGAAATGCACTCCTTGAAGGTGAATGATACCTGGTCATTGGTTCAAAAACCTAAAGACCATAAACTTGTGGAGTGCAGATGGTTGTTTAAGCTTAAGGAAGGTATGACTCCTCTTGACCCTCCTAGATATAAGGCTTGATTAGTAGCAAAAGGTTACACACAAAGTTAAGGTATATATTTCAATGAAATTTTCTCTTCTGTGGTTAAATTTAAAACAATTAGATTAATGTTATCTGTTGTGGCTCACCATGTATTAGAATTAGAATAATTAGATGTGAAAACTGCTCTTTTGTATGGTGAATTATAAGGGAAAATTTTTATGAGTCAACCTGATGGATTTAAAGATAAAAATCTGCCTAATCATGTGTGTTTGCTACATAAATCATCATATGGTCTTAAACATTTCCCTAGGCAGTGGTATAAAAGATTTGATTCTTTTATTGTTGGTATTGGGTTTACTCAAAGTAAATATAATAATTGTTTCTATTTTGCATTTACTGATAACATGCCTATATATTTGCTTTTATATGTTGATGACATGTTATTGATAAGTAAGTCTAAGTCTAAAATAGATTATTTAAAGGCAAAATTGAATGTTGCATTTGATATGAAAGACTTAGGCTGTGCAAAGAAAATCTTAGGAATGGTGATAGAAAGAAACAAAAAGGTTAATAAGCTTAAAATTCATCAAAAGTCATACTTACAAAAACTTGCTTCAAAGTTTGGCATGTCTGATTCTAAACTAGTTAATATACCATTAGTTAGTCATTTTATTCTAAGTAAACTGTAATGTCCTAAAACTAATACTGAAATGATTAAAATGGAGAATATACCTTATTCTAATGCAATAGGCTCAGTCATGTATGTCATGATTAGTACTAGACCAGACCTATCATTTGCAATTTCTTTATTGAGCTGATTCATGTCTAATCCTGGAATTAAGCATTGAATTGTATTGAAATGGTTATTAAGGTATATTAATTGCTTCTTACATATTGGTTTGGATTATTTTAAAAGAGGTGATGCACTTGATATTGTGGGTTTTGTAGACTCTGATTTTACAGGAGACAAGGATACAAGGAAGTCCCCCACATCTTACTTTTTTACATTGGGAGGAAACTGTGTTAGTTGGAAGCCTTAACTTCAACTGCTGGTGGCACTATCTACAACAGAGGCAGAATATGTGGTCGTGACTGATGCCTTCAAGGAAGAGGTGTGGCTTCAAAGGATTTTGAGAAAAGCCAAATTAGTGGATGGTTTGGTGACAATATACTCTAAAAGTCAAAGTGCCATACACTTGAGCAAAAATCTTGTTTATCATGAGAGAACCAAACATGTAGATGTAAGGTTTCACTTTGTGAAAGACTTAATTACAAGAGGAGAAATTAATCTAAAGAAGGTATCAATTGAGATAATCCAACTGACATGGGGAGTAAAGTTGTGACTGCTACTAAGTTCAAGCATTGCTTGAACTTATTGTTTATAAGGTAAGCAATATTAATGGAGCTGAGAAGGAATAGATCGATGGTCTGTTGCACTAATGGAGACTCTGTATTGATGGTGGTTTTTGGCTTCGAGGTGGAGATTGTTAAATATGAAGCACAAAAACACTATCATTTTGGTTTCTTGCTTGATCAAATCCTAAGCATTGCTTCTTAATCTGATCCGACAGTTGTCATTAAGTCACTTGGTCAACAATATAAAAACATTAGAATCGCCAGATTGAAAATGACGAACTATCATTTTGTTTTGTCAACAATTTGCTCTGCTAAGGCTTTTCACACTTGGCTCAAATCGTGTAATTTCTTTAAGTGATCAATTGAATCATTCAGTGAGGTTTGAGTTTCCTTCAAGGTTAGAGAGTCTAGTGTAGGTTTCTCTTAGAATAGAAATTACTTTGATGCATTTGGGTGGTTAGTGATAAAAGAGTGATTGATGTGATATTCTTGTAATATGTAAAAGCTTGATTGATTAGTACAATAAGCCTCTCTATTCTAGAGCTCAATGTGGATGTAGTCTATCCAATCTTGGATAGGTGAACTATAGTAAAATCTTTATATCTTGTTAATTTCATATGTGTGTGTTCTTGGTTGGTTTGATTGGTAGAATTAGTTCAATAATACGTCTCAGATCATAACATAAATTAATGTAGATTTAGGAAAGAAATTAAAATAATGTTTGTGTTGGTTTAGGAAACAAACGAAATGAAGCCAGTGTCCATTTGGGAATAGGATTTTAGTTAAGAGTTAGAACTAGACTTGTAATAAAATTAGGATTATTTCGGTGGAAAATGAAAGATTAACGTTCAGGAATATTAAGAGGATTGTAATAAAAAATACTTATTCAAGAGGATGATGTAGCCAAAACTAACAATCTTATATTATCCTTCAATATCAAAGCACCATTTTCCTGTGTCAGAATTTGGGATACAAGTAATTAAAGCAGCCTCTCAAGCAATTGGGTCAACCTTTCTATTAAGTGCAATCAAAACTGCATTAAGCCACATGTCAGGTTTCTCTGTATTAGTTGCATAATGCAATGGGCAGCAATTTATAGCTAAAATTTTTTTTTTCTACAGTGCTAAAGATCCTGAAACAAGTTTCCTTTTAAGTAGTTATTACAAATCAAAAGATAATTAAATAAGACCCTCTTGAAAAATCTCAGAAGTTTGAAAAAAAAATTTGAAATCTGTTGATAAATTGAAAAGTTTACTAAATTAAACTTGACAGAATGGTCTTAATAGAATCTTCTGCACACTAATTATTTCTTGGTTGGAGTTTGTTCTATTAGTACTAATAACAGTTCGGTTATCAGAAAAGTCATACTAATTAGAATCACTTATACAAGCAGTCATATGAATAGCAAATAATTTATACAGAAAGATATATATGCTTTCACAGCAGGCAAAAAACATCCATGAATTGCTTTGTGCCTTCTGGAAAGCAAGCACCGCAGTGTTAATTCCTTCCTTTGCAAGAAATACATGAGCCTTCCTCACCAAGTAAAAGAGCCCTTAAGATAGATTCACCTATCCCATCTACATATGGAAAGAAGTGTCCAGAACCTGGTAACTCATGATATTGAATCCATGGAAGTCTTTCCGCTATGTGGCGTTGAAGGATCACTGGCACCAGCCTATCTTCATCACCATGCCATATGTGAACGGTGCCTTCACCCTTAGGAAAAGGGTTCTGGAGATCCATCGGATCAAATTCCCATCTCCCAAACCCTATCATCAGGTCGCGATGATTGGACTCAAATACTCCTTGCTGAAGTACTTGTGACTGCATAAAATAAGTACAGTACCAGAATCTCATATCAACTGGTAGACAACCTTTTCAAATAGTATGAGAAAATTCTGATTAATTTTTAAGGCTATCTGAGTAATAACATCATGTTTTAAACTTCTGGAAAAATAGAGTTCTCAAGATGTTAAATTTCTACTACTTTAACCACACTTATAGATATAGAAACTAACACCCATTATCAGTTTCTTTCTTTAAGATTCACTGCATATTAAATTTAGTACCTTGTGTCTTTTCCTCCCAGCAAGCTTAGGGAGAATTTGTCTATCTTGAGGAGAGAAAATCTGAGGGTGACGAGCTGCAACAGCAGATGCAGGAAATAATTTCTGAGTGTTCCACCAGTAGGTAAGCCATGGAGCGTGATGTGCAACACGAAGAGCCCATTGATCCTGTGCTAACTGCAGGTTGTAAGCTTTTTTTGATAAGTTTCTGGGAAATCCAGGCCACCAGTAGTTGATAACTGGAGCAATTAGTGTTGCTCCAGAAAGCCTGAAACCATTGGAAAATCCAAATTGAAAGATCAGCACCCTGTTCTAAACAATGCTGATTCAAAGCAAAATGCAAATACAGATTTGAATTCAAGTTAAAGTGTAACATTAAAATTCTAATAATCGTTAAGGCTAAAACTTAATTTAAATGCCAAAAGGCTTAGAAAGAACAAGCATAAATGTATTTATTTCATTGAAAAGGTCCACTCTCTGAAATTGAAATGACTTATTGTTACCTGTAAGGGATGTACTTGAGGCAGCTCCAAACTGTTTGGCCTCCCATAGAATGTCCAACAACATAAAATTTGGATCCAAGTCCTAACTGATCAGCAAGCTCTTCTGTATCCAATGCCAAACTCTTTATTGTTCTCTTTGGATTCGGATCACTCTCTCCATATCCTGGTCTGTCAAATGACACTATGTATATCCCAAGTTCCTCAACAACTTCCTGAAATGATAAATATGCTGCATATCATCAAATTAACATTTTTTCACAGTTTACCAAATTATCGTTACATGTTATTATAACTATTCTGAATAATAATAGAGGTAAGGAGTTGAAGTACTTGAGAGAGGTTCTCTGCAATGACTACATCATGCCTGCTGGAGCCAAAACCATGGAAAAATATAATCTTATGTTTGGCCAAGTGTTTTGGCAAGCCATGCTCCTTGTAAGCTAAATGCCTTCCATCCCTCAGCTTTATTCTAGGTCCCGTAATGGCAGGGCCGCCCGGAGAGCCACAGATTTTCGGAGGTGGAGGAATGGTAGCTTGATATGCCCACGCCAGAAAACCGATCACCAAGACAACTATAATTTCCCGAATCATTTCTAGAAAAGAATTTGTGGGGAAAAAAAAAAAAAAGCTTTATCAAGCTAGAATTGTACAACAAGCGCAGGCATATTAAAAGATTAGTTAATCACAACAATTCTATTTCTTAACAATTGCTTATGCAATTCTTCAATAACTGAAAATCTTCATAATTCTTACAAATAATTGCAGATTGTATGGTATTATAATACGATATATTTCTGATTTGATTAGATCCTATTCCTGAACAAACGGGAATCTACAAGGAAGAACTGAACTTAAACTAGATCAATGTTTAAAGCTTCTGACATATAATTTATTTTTGTGGATGGAAATTGTTGCGTTATTTAATGGATGGTGCAGGGATAAGCTACTTCATGGTATTTTTCTGTGCATGATTTTGATTGAACACATAAGATAAATCATTAACTTGAAGTAGGCCCCCTTCAAATGGAATCCAATGAGTTCCTTCGCTTATATACCAGTCATGCATTTCTAGAAAAATTACTGGGAAAATGATTTTTTGGTAGATCAACTGTCAGCAACATTTTGATCACATATATGATGATAATCGATCATACTACAACGGTAGATTATGCTTTTCCTATTGAATAATTCAAGAAATTCTGAATAAGAGTACATTTAAAAGCACATGAATATTATAAGATTTGTCTTCATCGAAAGTTACAGAAGCAAAAAGCTTGTTAACCTTTTATAGAGAGGCAAAAAGCTGATAAATTTAACAGCCACACCAAATGGATAAACAAGATAAGATGCTAAAACAAGAAGCAATTTATAGAAGTGAAGGGAACAATACGAAAATCATTCATGTTCTCCTCATCTAAAAGTTTAACTATAAGGCTTAATTTCACTTCCATTTTCACCCTTGACAATGTTTAGGAAACTTTCGACAGTTATATTTGCAAGAGCAATCAAAACTGCATTAGGCCACATGCTAGCTTTCTCTGGTTTAGTAGCACAATGCAATGAACAGCATCACAATTTAGACATAATTTTTTTTTTCTGTAGTGCTAATGATCTTGAAACAAGTTTACGTGCAAGAATTTATTAAACTCCATTGGTTTGTACAATATTTTTTTTTATAAAGTTGTTATTTCTGTGATCAAAACTTGAAGGAATAGTTTTAAAACATAATTATATATAGTAATACTACACCTACAACCTCTTCTCACAAACTTTCTTTCACAACCCCGACGTGACAGCTTGTAATGGGTCTCACCTAATAAATTACGGCTGACCAATTGTGAGCTGCCACGTCAGGGTTGTGAGAGAAAGTTTGTGAGAAGAGGTTGTAGCTGTAGTATTACTCAATTATATAACACCCTCTCGAAGAAAATCTCAGAAGTTTGAAGAATTTTGAAATCTGTAGTAAACTGAAAACAATATTATCACGTAGAGTCATTGCAGGAAATGAAGCCAATATAAGAATTAAAATGCACCTCTACTTAATTAATGTTGTAAAAACAAATTATGTCTCAATGCTTTAAAGCATTCCTGAGATGCTATCTTTTTCCTTCTGCCATGAGCTCCCGTTAGATGAACAAATAGAAAAAGGAATTCATTTAACTGCTGAATCTTTTACTAGTGACTAATCAGACAATTCAACCATCAAAATTCTCAACCACTCTGATAAACAAGACAGAGAGGACACAAACCAAATTTAAATCGATTTATAGAGGTGAAGTGATGAGGATAGGACCGAGCAGCCTATTGTCGTAAAGTTGACACAAGATCCTCTTCACATTCCAATGGGCCCGATTACGAGTAGTCGAGTTAAAAAGATGCAACGTGTCTTGTCAAGCGTAATTGAAGAACTTGAAGCCAAGGAAGCAATGCATAAAGCCAAGTATGCCCTAGAGGGATCCAAAAAGATTGTTAATAAAATTGAAGCCCAAGTCCAAGTTTGAGGAATTAAAGACCAATTCTTGCTAGCCCTAATTGGGTCTAAGTTGGCGTCCAAGCCTTTGTTCATGGGGTTTAATAATTGTTAATTTATGTGAGCTATTTTAAATTATTTTAAGACTTATTTTGGTGTAATGGGCTGAAGCTATTTATTTACTAAAGCCCAAGTCTTTTATTATTTTTATTAGTTGGGTTTGGGTTAGTTATTAGGGTTAAGACCTATTAATGGGCTGTTAATCTTATTCTGGGCTAATTAGTTAGTTATATATAGTTATAAGCGGTTTTGGCCACAAACTTTTTTTTGGGTGGGGGGAGAGTAATATTTCGTTCTTTTTCAAGATTGCATCTTGATCTCTAGAACTTATCAAGAATCACCAATTCTTGTGGCGTTCTTCCACGAAACTTATCAATCTAAATTAAGATTGTGGCGTTTCAGATTATCTATACCAAGGTTCTGACAATAGATTCGTTTCGGGTCGTCGTTCTTCGAATTCTGATTGTTCATAGATCTTTACATTCTTGATCGGCAAGTTTCTTCGCAAATCGAAGGAGTTCGTTTCAGTTGGTATCAGAGCAAGGTTCAAATCATATTCTTTGTTTTTTTTTTTTTTTCTTTTGTTTCTTTCGAGTCTTTATTCTTGTTTCGTCGTATTCAATTTGTCTTGGTTGAGTCTTGTTGAATATCTTGAATAAACTGATCATCATACTATTGAATTTGATGTGATTTCTTGGTTATTTGAACATCTTAGGGTCTATCTTGATCAATTCGCACACCAAATTAGGGTTTAGATTCAGTTTAGTTCAAGTCATTAGGGTTCTTCGAATTTAATCTTGTGTTTCGTAATCTGATCTTGTGTTGAATCCATGTTATTTCATTTGGGTCTTGATTTGTAATTGATTGAATCTTGTTAGCATCTTTTCTTGATTGCAAATTAAATTCAACATAAATCAGATTTGATTTAACAAAAGTTGGCCAAGTTTTAAAAAAAAAAAAATTTCAACATATATCAGATCTTAATCTACTGTTCACGTTCAGATCTTGATTTTATATATATTAAAAAAAGAAAGAAGAAGAAAGAAAAGTCGCAGCCAAATCTTGTTAATCTTGAATCTTGGTCTGATTTGTTACAATCTAATCTTTTACGATTGTCCCTCCCAAAGATTCGATCTTGATTGAAGTTTTGTTCGTTTCATATTCTTGGTGTTGATTTTTTTATTATTATTATTATTATTATTACCATGAACACTCCTTTGAATTTTAGGTGTTCTACTATCTTCATGATTGATTAGGATTGTCCTTTGCATTCTTAGTAGGTGATTTCGAGCATCACATCTGAAAATTTGATAATTCTTGGCTTTCGTTGTAAAAGAAAAAAAAATTCAGATCGTGAGATTCAAAAGAGCGTTCTAAATGCGAGTGTGAGTGGCTTGAATAATTGAGTGTAGACACTTGAGGGAGTGTTTGTAAGGAATTTTCTAACATTTTCTATAGGTACATGACCTTCATGGAAAATCTTGAAAAGGACATTGCAAAAGAATCAGAGAATTCCGAAGCTTTCACAATGAAAGCTATGCAGCAACAATTAGAACATATGATTAATGTTATGAGTAGTTTTGAGAGTAGGATAGAAAGAATGGAAGAAGGAGAAAAGAAAATTAAGAAGAAAGCACCGTCCATGCGAGCTCATGATAGGATAGTAACCGATAGTGAGAATGAGCGCAGTGACGATGAGATGATCATAATAAGTGTGGATGGGCAGATTAGAAAGAACTATGGGAAATACTTTAGAGGAGGTAGGAACTCGGTTTGGGAAGATAGAAACTTGGGCTGTATTAAGATGAAGATTCCACCCTTTCAAGGTAGGAACGATCCGGAGGCTTATTTGGAGTGGGAGAGAAAGGTAGAACAAGTCTTTGATATCCATAGTTACTCGGAAGAGAAGAAAGTGAAATTAGAGGCCGTGGAGTTTATCAATTACGCCAGTGTATGGTGGGACCAATTAGTTAGGAATAGGCGTAGAAACATGGGTAGACCTATTAATTCATAGGCGAATATGAAGAGTGTGATGAGGCAGCAATTCATTCTGAGCCATTACTATAGAGATTTGTTCCAGAGGTTACAAGAGCTTAGGCAAGGGAATAAGAGCGTAGAGGATTATCAAAAGGAGATGGAGATGGCTATGATTAGTGCGAATATAAAGAAGGATAGAGAAGTCACTATGGCTAGGTTCTTGAATGGGTTAAATCGAGAGATAGCGAATATGGAAATGTTGCAACACTATATCAGGTTAGAGGACATGGTCCATATGGCCATGAAAGTTGAGCGACAGTTGCAACGTAAGGGCCGACGAGACTTAGGATCTTATAGTAATACTTTTAGGTCGAGTAGGTGTAAGCGAGATGAGAGAACCCCCTACAAGCCCAAAACCGAGAGTCCCAAGCCTAAGAAAGACGAGTCCAATCGTGATTCAAAATTTAGTACACCCAAACCACCCAAGAGAAAGAGCTAGATAAAGTGCTTTAAATATTTTGGTAGAGGTCACATAGCTTCTTAGTTTCCAACTAAAAGAGTGACGGTACTGACGGAGGATGGAGAGTATGGGACGAAGGAGGAGTCAAATGATGATTATATGCCACCATTAGAGGATGCTAGTGATGTAGAGTTAGAGTTTCCTGTCAAGGGAGAGATACTAGTGTCTATGAGAGCTTTGAGCATGCAAATTAGCGAGGAGAATGAGAAACAAAGAGATAATATTTTCCATACTCGCTGCCATGTGAAGAATAAAGTGTGTACCTTAATCATAGATGGTGGTAGTTGTACTAATGTCACTAGCACAGAACTTGTTGAGAAGCTTAGCTTACCTACACTTAAACACCCCAGGCCTCATAAGCTACAACGGTTAAATGATTGTGGTGAGATTAGAGTTACCAAACAGGTGTTAGTGTCATTCTCCATAGGGAAGTACAAGGATGAAGTTATGTGTGATATGACTCTAGTGCATGTTAGGCACATACTATTAGGAAGGTCGTGGCAGTACGATAGGCATGTAGTTCACAATAGATTTAAGAATAGATATTCATTTGTCATGAACAACACCCAAACTACACTTGTACCTTTAACCGCAAAACAAGTGTACGAGGATCAATCGAGAAAGAAATTGAGCGAAAGTGAGAAAAAGAGTAAAGCCGAAAATGAGAGTGAAAAAAAATTGACGAGCGAAAATAATAGAGAGAAAAAGAGAGGTGAGACCGAGAGAGAGAGAGAGATCGGGAAAAGAGAGAGGGCTAAGTGCCTAAGAGTGCAAAAGTGAGATTACAAACAAAGAGAAGAAAAAAATAAGTTTCTACGTAAGAGAGAGCGATGTGAGGGCTGCCCTTGTGACTGAATAACACTTGTTGATGTT